TATGGGCACGCATGGGAACCGAGCGATAGGTAAATTAGTATTTTATACACAGCCACTTTATTGGCTATTCAGTTTCAGGTAATAGCAAACTTTTCTATTATTGTTCTTTAGTAATTTTTTCTCTTGTATTCTTCTCTTCCTGCCCCCTTGCAGCTCCAAGGTGCACGGCTCTTAGGAATTCCAGTTATTGTAACTGAACAGTATCCCAAAGGTCTTGGCAGCACTGTGCAAGAAATTGATTTAACAGGAGCTAAACTTGTGCTTCCCAAAACAAAATTTTCAATGGTGTTGCCAGAAGTCGAAGCAGCATTAGCTGAGATCCCTGGAGTCCGCAGCGTTGTCCTCTTTGGAGTAGAAGTATGTGCCTTGCCATTCATATACTGTTTTATGATAATGTCTGTTAGCCCATGACAACCACAGAAAAAAGTCGATTTGTATTGCTTTGAGCTCAGATATCTTTTACAGTTATTCTTGTGGTATTTGTCTTTGATATTATCTCATAATAAAATCTGAAATGATATACTTGTGAACTACATGCTCTTTTCTCAAGCTTCGTTGGAGTTTAAAACCTACATTAAATGCCCTAGTAAGGGAAGAGGTAGAAAAATATGTGTTAGAAGCCTAATTAATTACATCCTCTAATTTGGCTTTATGCTACTCATGTTTTATAAAAATGATTTGTTGGTGGGTTTTTTGCCTTTGATTTCTCGCCTGTAGACTCATGTCTGCATTCAGCAAACGGCATTGGAACTAATTGGCAGAGGTCTGGAAGTACATATTGTAGCTGATGCCACCTCATCAAGAAGTATGATGGACAGAATGTTTGCTCTTGAGGTAAGTTTCTTAGGGCTGCCTCCACCTTGGGTCTGTATGTTAATTTCCCTGTTTATTAATAGGTAGCAATGAATTTCTGAGGACAGTAAGGAGTGGAACAAATGTAAACTTGAGAAGAAGTGAATACTCAGATTCTCAGAATAGCTTCCAGGATGGAGAAGGATTACTGCTTTACTTTTCCTTCCTAAATTAGGTTAAACTAGGTTACTGTGCATAAGCATTAGCATTTTAGGATATTTTCTTATGGAGTGTTATCTGTATAGCAGAGTAAGTGCTATAGAGCTTTGGGAATTGTTGTTCTCTATTTGTTCTGCTGTTGAAATTCCTTGAAATGCAGTGGAATATAGCAAGTGATCATGTTCAAAGCCCTTTGTATGCCTGTCCCTCCCTCTGCTTTTCCTCATCAGTGCAAATGAAACTTTAATCTAAAGACTCTGTGATTATAGTAAATACTTTTGTTCCCTCCCTTCCAGGAGCTTAGTCTAGCTAAATGTTGAAACAGTAGAGATAAATGTACAAGGAGATTTAAAAGCACATACAACTATGTGGTAGCAAATTGATACAAATGATTTTTTTTTATAGTGTACTCTAATTTGCCTACAGGCATTACTGGTGGAAATCAAAACCTGATATGTACGTTAAGTATTGCAATTTTTGCCTCAGGCCCTAACCATCATTTTGAAATTGCAACTAATTATTACAGTATTCTATACTTCTTTTCACAGATTTGGGGAAGACTTTTAATTTGATCTGTTTCTCATGAATAAGAGAATTAAAGGCTAAAGGGAAATCATCAGCATATAGCATTTGATGAAACCCGTGACTTTGATTAAGTGAAAGCTTAATGTTGTCTGTCACTTAAAGCATAATGACGCACACTGAGTGCAGGAATGACTGATATTATGGACTTCCTAAGTCAATGTGGTTCAAGATGAAACAAACAGAGAAGAACTGAAATCCATTTGCCTTATTGTCTAAGTCTTTGTACGTTTGATATCACTTACACTGTTTCTGCAAGTGTAGAAATTGGTTCAGTGTAGTACAGGTTAAAGCAGTAACACGCTAGCTTTGCTTTTCTTTCTAGTCAAAAAGATATTGATCATCTTAAAAGTGTGGTTGGTTGCAAAGGCTGTAATTCAGACAAATTGGTTGCTTTTAGGTAACCTTTTCAGTATATCTTTTCAGTGTTTTCTCACCGAATGCAATGAGAATGTTTTGCTGTGGTCTCTCAAGGTAGTTATCATAAAAATGTGATGCAGGGAACGTTTGATGGCTTGCTGTGCTGAGCCAGCCAGTTATATGGCAGTAACTTCTCCTTCTCCTCCTCCTCTTCTGTGGCTACATGTGCCAACATTGTCTTTTTTTTGTGCTATAGAGCCTCTCTTAAAAATGCTGCTGAGGGCTGTGTGCTAGAGCAGACAAGAGCTGGATGTACTTGAGAGCAGGAGACTGGGAAGAAGGGACACATGTACTGGGCATGTCAGTAATCCTGATTGACCGTGGTAATGCATACCTTAGGGAAGTTGGTAAAATACCAAAGCATTGAATAATCCTGCTTTAGTCTCACCATACAGCTGTGACAGTTCCTAGTCACAGTCTTCTAATTACTGAGTCTGACATTATCTCTTGTGCAAACTTTCTCCATACCTGTTGAGGTAGGTTCATCAGTCTGGGTTTCCTGGGTCTTTCTCCTTAACTTTTTGGGAAGATGGGTGCAGCATTTGCCTTTTCTCAGTAACACAGCCCTCCTCTGTTCACAGTGACCTATCAAGGACTCTGAGGAGTGACCTTGCAGTGCTAACAGCTTCCTCAGCAACATCAAATAAGGTCCATCTGGTTCCACCTGCCCCTTCAGTTCTCCACATTTCCCCTCACATAGCATGTGTTTTGATGGTGCTGGTGACAAACATTCAAGCATCTTAATGGGTGAACTAGGAAGCACAATCTGAACTAATTGATAGCCAAAGCTTTCATGTCTGCCTGGAAAAACCCTAAAGAGTTATTAATCCACTTCAGTTGTGTGCTTAAAAATGACAGCAAGCAAAAAGTTACAGTCAAAAAATCCTCAGAATCCAAAACCCTTCACAATTTCCATTGATGAAATAATTCAACTGAACTGGCCAGAGTTGTGGCTGTTCTTAATCTCTGCACGATCTAATGAAGATGCCTTGTGTCAGTGCTTGAGCTTGTTGGATTGAGCCAGTTTAGTCTATTCCTGATGGATATATTTTCTATTCTACTTGTTCATGCAATGTGGATGCCACACACGCTTTCTGCTTTACTTCATTTGGAAGACTGTTCCAAGGAAATGTTTCCTAATACAGTACGTTTCACATGTGCATCTCTTCATTCATACTAGTCTCAACACTATAGGAATTACCCATAGTCCTAGAACTAGAGGATAAACCAATGCCAGGCTTTGACATATGATGGTATGTTTTACTTCTAAAGAGGAGATAGTCTCTTTTTTCGATCAACGTTTCTCAGAGAGAAGTGTTCTCTAAGTCTATTTTTTTTCTCTCATCCAGACTAGTTAAAGGCAGAAACAGTAAAGCACTTGACACCATCTCCTAGAGCATCCTCACAGCTAAACTGAGGAAGTGTGATCTGGATGATCAGGTAGTGAGGTGGGTCTCTAACTGGTTGAAGGGAAGAAGTCAGAGATTTGTGGTCAATGGGGCAGTCTAGCTGGAGGCATGTGTCTAGTGGAGTCCCTCAGGAGTC